TTGTGTTGGTGAGCGAGACTCTGAGATCTTTACGAAATTTGCCTTGCTTAACTTAACCAAGCTGCCGAGCTGGCTTGTGGCGGAAAGATTCAGGCTCGTATTAGGGCATTCCTCCTAGAGTGAACGTGCTATCCTTGCTCATAGGGGACAGATTGGCCAAACATGGGTATCAAAGCCGGCGCCATAAACCTTATCATACGTAGTATCGTAGTTATGCATTTCAATTTCGTACAGTGACAGACTCTAACGTGCATCCCTTCGTGACGGACATCCCTGTGTGCCGGAACCGGCCAGTCAGCTTGCAAGAAGTCTGTGATTTAAGCGAGCTGATCGGCCGTCCTCCGGCTAATAATTATTTAGGGTTTTCTTTCTAGTCAGTGTTGCTTCTCTACGAAGGTTTATCCCTCCGTGATTAATATTAGATGAGTCAGCACTAAACACACTTATAGTATAGTTACCTAGTTACTGTAACGGCGCAGGCAAGACTACTCGGATCAGTATCGGCAGATAGTGTCACTCAGAGGCATATGGGAGTGCGTGGGACAGCAGAAGAGCCTTGATTCGAATAGACACCTATAGGCCTTGTACGAAAGGATATCAAAAGTCTACCGAGCTAGCTACAGGAGGTGTCTGAATAAATACCCGTCCTTAGTCGGATCCGAGTCGGATCCGACTCAAGAACAACTGACTGCTGAAGAGGGCGGCGGATATTCGCTCTGACCCAGCTCCGGCAGGGGTCCGATACTTGGCAGTGTTGTAACATCGTTACAGTTACGTAGCTTCACGATTGCAACGCGATCTTGGCCACTAGCGACTGTATCACCCTGTTGCTTCATCCGCGAAAACCAACCTTAGAGTCTTGACACCAGAAGTCTTATATTACTTCCACTCAAGATCCATACTCTTAACAGATATATTGCTAAGTGTCTAACAATAGTTATAGCGACAACCTCTAGCATGAGCTAAACAGTTCACAAGGATAAAGCTTAAGAGCTATCGTAATAGTAATCGCTAGAGGATAACTAACGTCCGTCCCTGTGGGACGGACGTTATTAGGATTATATTTAATGACGATTTTGTCATGGTTCGGGCTCACAGGGAGAAGAGACAAGCACGGGTGCAGGAATCTATTGCTACGGATTAATCAGTCGGCTCGTACTAGTGCCTTCCTAAGATTGGCGTCTGCGTTAAAGTTCGTCCTTGTGTGACGAAGAACCCTGTGTGACGAAAATGACCAATCGGATCGCAAGGAGTATGCACTTCTCTACCACCCTCGCGGTCCGATTGGTCATTTTCGTCACACAGGGTTCTTCGTCACGTAGGGATGGACGTTAATAAGCATCATCGACAACTAACGTGCGGGATCAGTAAGCTGCGCAGATCAGTAAGCTGCGCACCCCACCCAACCTGACCCAACGCTCTCCACAACCACCACAATGCCGCGACAACAACGTTCTATACAGACTTCTCGTGAAGGTAGAATAAGTCTTACTATACTATCGTATCAACATAATAAAAAACAATCTCTCCATGCTCTCGCAGCAGCGTATAACGTGCCAGAATCAACACTACGAACGCGCCTCCGCGGTACCCAGCCACGATCAGAGATAGTCTCTGTTAACCGAAAGCTACTACCTATTGAAGAGCAGTCCCTTGTGCAGTGGATCCTAGACCTTGACCGACGTGGTTTTCCACCCCATATTATCGACGTACGACGGATGGCAGACACTCTACTCACTGCGCGCGGCCAAGATCCACCTCCACAGCCTATTGGCAAGAAATAGGTGTCGCGCTTTATCCAGAGCCAGCCAGAGCTTCAGACGAAGTGGAGCAGAAGCTTTAATAGTCAGCGCGCCTCCTGTGAGGATCTAATCGTAATTACAGCTTGGTTTAAGCTAGTAGANGAGACGCGCCAGACGTACGGCATTCTAGATCAAGATATCTATAATTTTAATGAGACAGGATTCGCGATAGGTGTCGCTGGCACGTTAAAAGTCGTAGCTAGCTCTAATAGAGTTGGTAGAGCAGTCGTCGTACAGCCAGGCAATCGGGAGTGGGTTACAGCGATCGAGTGCGTCAACGCGTCTAGCTGGTCTCTGCCACCGTTCGTGATACTATCTAGCAAGGTCCACCAGAGCAGCTGGTATCACAACCTCCCACCAGACTGGACTATCGGCGTCTCAGACAACGGCTGGACGACAGATAAGCTTGGCGTAGAGTGGGCGAAGCACTTCAACTAGTATACAGCGGCTCGTACAGCTAGAGTCTATCGGCTGCTTATTCTAGACGGCCATGGTAGCCACGCAACGCCAGAGTTTGACCAGTACTGCGCCGAGAACAAGATTATCACTCTCTGTATGCCACCTCACACGTCGCACCTCCTCTAGCCTCTAGATGTAAGCTGCTTCTCGCCGCTTAAGCGCGCGTATNGACGTGAGATTGAGGAGCTCGCTCGCTAAGGTATCTACTATATCGACAAGATAGATTTCCTTACAGCCTATACACGGATTCGGCCGACGGTTTTCACGCAGCAGAATATCCAGGCAGGCTTTCAAGCGACAGGCCTTATCCCTCCTTATCTAGATCGCGTTCTATCGTCTCTTACAGTTGTCCGTACGCCGTCTCTACTACAGACAACTATAGACAATAACGCCATAACGCAGGCAGAGACACCGCATACAGTAGCCCAGCTTCAGCAGCAAGTACGCTACCTTAAGGAACGGCTCTGTCGGCAATCAGAGAGCCCAACAAGCATTGCTATACGTCAGCTTGCTAAAAGCGCTCAGCTTGCGATGCAATTAGCAACAATACTTACAGAGGAGAATAAGAAGCTACGTACAGCTAACTAGCGCCGGAGACAAAAGCAAGACCAGCGGCGCCAATATATCGCTTCTGGTGGGGTGCTCCAGGCTCAGCAGGCTCAGCAGATCGTTGCAGAGGCAGAAAGGGTACTCATGGGGGGTGACCAGAGGCAGGCTGGTGAGCGACGTCGGCGCGCGCCGCCAACGTGCACGAAGTGTCACGTTGAAGGACATACTCGGACTTCATGTAGAGCTAAATAATTAATTATATCTCTTAATTATATCTAATTTTATTACGTTGTTGTGGATCAATTGCATATAGCGTCGGGTCAGGTTGGGTGGGGTGCGCAGCTTACTGATCTGCGCAGCTTACTGATCCCGCACGTTAACTAACTACTGGGGCCCCCTTGCAGATCTATCGGCCCAGGTCAGTGATCGCCACATGCAGAAGTATATATATTCTTATCTAAAGCACCGAAAGGTTACCAAACACATCTACATTTCAATTACACAATCCTACAATAATCCTCTACATTTCATTCAACATTTCGTTACAACACATCACACCCCTCTCATAACATTAACGACCGTTACAATGACGAAGTCGTTCTTTATAGTCATCGCTACAATACTTGCCGTACTTCCAGCCTCAATGGCTGACACTATCAGTGTCTGCGGTATTTGTTATCAAACAGGACGCAAATATATTGATTATGTCTGTATTGGCGGAGCATCAAAGCATACCTGCTCAACAGCCTGTAATAAGGTGCAGGTCCGCAACGCTCAAGAAGTCTGCTGCGTATGTATTTTTCCAAAACTCCATGTTGGATTAACTATTCTAACTAACATGACTGTAGTACGTTGATTCTTGTTGAGTGTCGCAGTCTTTGCAAGGCCGCAGAAATGACGACTTTAGCTGAGCTAGAGCAATAGGCCCCTGCAACTGAAACGATGTTACAACTTCGCCAAGTATTGAGCTGATCCCACAGCCGGATCGGAGGAAGTATCGGCCGCCCCTTCATTAGCTATCCGTTTCTTAGTCGGATCCGATTCGGACCCGACTAAGGACGGGTATTTATTCAGACACCTCCTGTAGCTAGCTCGGTAGACTTTTGATATCCTTTCGTACAAGGCCTATAGGTGTCTATTCGATTCAAGGCTCGTTTGATGTCCCACGCACTCCCATATGCCTCTGAGTGACACTACCGCCGATACTGATCCGAGTAGTCTTGCCTACGCCGTTACATACAGTGCCTTATTGCTTCGGCTCAGCTAAGGTCATTGCTTCTATAGCCTTGCATAGTCGGGTATTAGCGGTGAGACAACACGAATAGAAAGAAAACTCTAATTGATTGTAGACCGAAGGAGGGCCGATATAAGGACAGTACTCCGTACAGAGGACGCTTTTAGAAGTTCTTGCTAGCGCCGGCCTTACCGTGCCCCACCACGCGGACGCTACCACCGCGTGGACGCGCGGCCTAGTAACCACCATTACCTCGATTGATTGATTGATTATATCCTACTCGGTTTCAGCCGTGATCTCCACAGCTATGTCCGGCTGGCATGCTTGGCGGACAGCCGACGCGTCGTAGGAATTTTGTTCCGCGCCGCCCCACTTCACCCTCGAAAACAAGGACCATCTGTCCCCAGCGGCTTGCCGTTTCCCTTCAACCACTATCTAAATATGCTTGGCCGCCCATCTAGATACTGGTTCTACTAACTAAATACTATGCTTCTAGGTTCGTAGAGGCATCTACCTCATCTTTGCGGCCGCGATACTTCCAGTCTCCCCCCCAGCGCTCGGCTGTCGTTCACGCATCTCTGATCCCCATTTGCCCAAGGATCTGCGTCTGCTCTATGAACTCGATGGCTTTAGTGGCTAGCTGTGGCTTGTTCAGGACGGCCGGGAGGTTGTGTCGTCCAGAGAGGTTTTCGAATACCTGGTTGCGGAGGTCCTTGTAGATCCTGCATCGGAGCAGGATGTGAGCGGCCGTCTGTCTTCTCTCTCCGCACTCGCATCGTGCGCTGACGACCTCTGGCACTCTTTGGTTGAAGAGGAAGTCGTTCAGTCCGATCTTTTCTGTTCGCATCTGAACCAGCAGAGCGCTTTCGCACTTGCTAAGGTTCTCGTGTAGTTTGAGCACCTTCTTTGTCGGCAGCGGTGAAAGTCTGTAGGTTGCTCTTCCTCTGGTTTCGGCTTTCTATTTGGCTGCCCATGCTCTCTCTGCTTGTGTCTTGCACTATCTCCTCAGCGTAGACTTGAGTGGATACAGTGTAGGAGGTTTCTCTGCTGGTGGACATCTACGGCCCTCCGCTCGCCATCCAGTTGCTTCCTTGGCCGCAAGGTCCGCCGCTTCGTTTCCCGGAATTCCTACGTGAGCTGGTACCCAGCGGACTGTTACCCATCGTCCTGTATTCTGGAGCCGTCGGACCTGGCTTGCAATTTCCTGGAGAATGTAGGCTCCCGATCTTCCCTCCGCCTTTGCTATCGACCAGATGGCGGCTTGGTTGTCTGTGTAGATGGCGATTTCTCTACGCTTGCCGCCCGTCTCGATGTATTGTTCTGCGATTTGCAGTGCTAGACTAATCCCTTGCAGTTCGGCTGCGTACACTGTAGAGACCGTGTTTGGTCCCATGTACGCGGCACGAGTCTGCTGGATCAGTGGGCACACTGCCGTCGCCCCTGTTTCACCGTCTATGCCGCTGCCGTCTGTGTAGATGCTTAAGCAACGTCCTGAGTCATTCTCTGCATCGTGTCGTCTGCGTGCTTTCTCTGCGGTATCCTCTATATGCGTCGCAGGGCCTTCTCGCCATGGCGGAGTCATGAACGGTGGAATGGGTTCTTGCTCGTCGAAGCCTTGGCTTCTTCGGGTCTTCATGTCGTTGTAGATCTTCTGCCACGAGTCGATGTGCGCTCTTTGTTTTCCTGTGCTTCTTGACGACATCGTCCTTTTCTGGATCCCTGCCATGCTCGTCATCGGCCTGCTCGAGAGAAGCCGAGTGACTACATTCGCGTTCTGCCTCCATATTTGTTGTTCGATGGGTAGGAGGTGGGCCTCGATGTCCAGCGCTGCTCGTGATGTAGCTCGGTATGCTCCGCTGATGATTCTCGCCGCTCTAGCTTGGATGCCCTGTAGTATGTCCAGTGTCTTCTGTGTATACGTTCCTCCTCTCGTGTTGGCATTGTACCAGATAGAGCAGGCGTACATCATCTGTGGGAGCGCTGTGCCTTCGTAGATCCTTCGCATGTCCAGCAGGCCCACGCCCCAATTGGAGCCCCCGAGACAGCTCAGCGCATTCACTGTTTCTGTTGTTCTTTGTCTAATTGCTTCTACGTGTTCTTTCCAGCGTAGCTTGGTATCCATTGTCAGTCCAAGGTATTTGCACGTCGTCTTTGGTGCTATCGTGCCCCATTCTGTCTGGATCGATCTTGTTCTGTCGATCCGTGTTAACGACCTTGTGAAGTGGGTCAGCTGGAACTTGTCGGGGGCGAAGATTGAGGCGTGGGTCCTAGCCCAGCTTTGTGCTTTGGTTAATGCTCTACTCATCCACCATTACCTCAACTCCTCATAACGTACCTCACGGCTTGGCTGGACGCTTTTGCCAAGCCCTCACTAAAATTACCACATTATGGCCTCAAAGAGCCTACTTTAGCTCTACTTATATAGTATAATGCAGTACGAGATATTATTTAAAAGCTACTCCTACTACCTGTAGTGAGAGCCTATTGATTAGTCTGTAGCAGTAGAATCCATACACGTGCCCGTATTTCCTGCCTGTGAGCCCTTACCGTGACATAAGGCGACTTTTTATAAGTTCTAAAATGGACATGTTGTAAGGGGCTGCGCTCTGGGCAGCAATCACGAGGTATACAAGAGGTTGTATTCATCATGGTGCTGCTTTGACGCTCCCTTTGCAGTCTCCTCTAGGTCCGGCCTAGCAACTCCAGTCCGTCTCGTGGCTCTCGCTCGGTTCCTCCAGTGCGTGTAAATGCGGCGCAACTGTGTCAGGTCCTGCGTCCACCACCTCTTTGCGTATGGTGACGGCTTAGCCCTGGGTGTTAATGTGTGCACCGCCTCCAGCACCTCTGCTGCGTCGTGCCCGCTGGCGGAGTCACGCTGAGCGC